CACCGATTGATCGGCTGGTGACCGGAATGGGCCAATTTTCACGTGATCGGCCGGTCAGTCTGACATATTATGCCGATTTTATGCCGTCAAATGCACTCGGGCGCCACATGATTAACATCGCGCAACATCAGCATCACACGTGCACACGGAACGCACATGTAGTAAACCTTGTGAATTACTGACGTTTCACACCGCAAACGTGAGCGGCGGGTATTATTTCCGGCGTGCATGTTAATCAATCGGGAGCAGGAGCAGCGGTGAAGCTGGGGTTTCGGCGCAGAGTCTATTTTTGCTGCACTGCTCACGCTCAATTAAAGTGAAAGCACACTTTTGATGGACAAAATAAATATGATTTCACACAAAAGTGCCCAAAATGCATGGGATTTGCATCTCTGGTGTGTTTTAACAAGAACTAAGAGTATATGTCGGAAAAGAAAATGAATTTTCTTTTTGAAATGAACACATTTTTTTAGTTGGATATTGGATGTGAAAAGAAGGAAATGGTTCTTCCATAACACTGCACTTTAGATGTGTGTGAATTTCCCACACCAGGAGTAATTTATTTAGTCCTATTTTATAGCGATTACTGTTCAAAAATGTTCTATGCAAAATGTAAAATGTTCTACTGAAGAAAAGAGAGAAAATAAATATTTGTGTGTGGTGTAAAGTGGTTAGAAAAAATGAAATCGGAATCGGCTAAAATCGGCATCGGCAGGTCAAACTCTGAAAAATCGGGAATCGGCCTAGAAAATTGTAATCGGTGCATCTCTACTGGGCCGTAAATATTTGCAGTGCGCACACAGGGTCACTGGCACAGGCAATGAGAGTCTGTCTCTTCACAAGGACAGGAAGCTGCCTTGTTAAGTTTATATAGACTTTCCCACACAATGTAGGGCATCTGAGATGTGCTTCATGCAAATTGTCTACTCAAGAAAAATTCCACAAAGAAATTGGCACATTAATAATGTTACAAAAGATAACTATTATAAAAAATTATTGTTTAAGAAAAAGTATCACGGTTTCCACAAAAATACAAGCAGCACAACTGTTTTCAAAATTGATGATAAGAAAGTTTACTTGAGCACAAAATCATCATATTAAAATGATTTCTGAAGGATCATGTGACACTGAAGACTGGATTAATGATGCTGAAAATTCAGCTTTGCATCACAGGAATACATTATGTTTTCAAATATATTAAAATAGAAAACTTATTTTAAATTGCAATAATATTTCACAATTTGACTGTTTTTACTGTATTTTTGATCAAATAAATGAATGCCATGAAATGGAAATTCACCCTGGATATATTTTCTAAATGCATGTTATTGATATGCATGCTATTCATTCGTGCATGCGTTTAATTTAATAATTAAAGTTTTAACATTTAAAGTCATAACTCGATCTTCTGGTGAAATGACAGACTTCTCTTTGCTCATGTATGCTGGGCTTCTCCGATGATTTAGTCCGCTAAACTCCGTCCCTTTCTTACAGTTGACTGCAAGCTTAAATTCAGATCTGCCTCCATCCAATCAAAAAGATGATTGAACCAAGTCCCCATTAATCAACGTTTTCAAAAACAAATTACCCGTAAATGAGAGTGCTACCGTAAACTTAGTTTAGGGTAGTGATATCTGGATAGGTCATGGTAAGGCATAGGTCAGTGAACACAAACCCCCACTCTTTGTAATAATAAATCGTCTGACTTGCTATTTCCTGTCTCACAACAATGATGATATCATATTCAAACCTCTTGTTTCTCAGAGACGACTTCCTGGGACCCATTGATTCACATGACTCTTATTTATTTCTTTTTCCAGGGAGGATATAGGAACTAATAATGACTGACTGATGTTTAGATATGCTATATGAGTGAGTGAAATCATCACTATCAGTCTCATTAGCTTCATGTTCCCCTTTTGTAAATTTGAGTGTTTTGAAATTGATGCATCGCAGGAAATGTCATACATCTACGCAATGCAACGATTAGACGATTCAACATAAAGATAAACAGCAGATTACCCCAGTCGTGATTATGATATACTGTAAATAAAGGGTCAGGGTTGATGAGGACTGATGAGTGGACAATTTTGCAGAGCTTTTTTAAATTTTATTTTATTTTTAGAAGCCAATTTCCTGACCCTTCATGTCTTCTGCTTTTTTATGCATACATGTCACCAGATTCTGACGTCTTTCTATAGCTGAGGCAACATCAAGCCCAAGTCACCAAGTGTTTGCCGATGCATTTCCCCAAATTCAGAGTGAGTTTTAGTTGTTTAGCTAGCACTATTTCTGTTCTTGTGTTAAGTTTAGACATATATGTGAACATGCATGACAAATGAAGAATTATAGAATTATAATTCTATCTTATGGATTTTTTTTTTAATTGTAAGTACAACTTGCAAAAAGTAACCTAATAATACGCTGATTAAGCTATTTTTATTGAAAAGGAAGTCTTCGTTTAAAGTCCACCTGAAGTCAATAATTTTATCCCTTAAAACTCATCTTTGATCACCAAAATTACATATTTAAATGTTTTTTTTTACTAGAAAATTCTTCATGCCTTTAAAGAGCTTGAATGTAACAACACCCTTGGTTCATTTAGTATATCCGGAACAATGAATATGCAAATTAGCCCCGCCTCCACTCACGCCAGCTCAGAGATTCACTCGGTTAACTTACTGAGGTAAACGTGGCACAATGGTATCGCTCTTTACAACGTCGGACACACAACGGTAATTAAAATGATTAGCCTTTTGCTTGACTATGTTATCAAACAGTTAATAGTGAGTTGCTAATGTTACATGAACCATGTTTCCGTTCGCCATCTCAGAGTCAGACCCGCTTTGAACAACTTAGAACATCAGCGGAGAAAGGCTGGCTAAATCATACACCCGCTATATTGCTAGCCTAAATCCACCCGATTTTTGCTAAAAGCCCCCTGGCGTGCGTGATTGGTTACAAGGTTTGTGACGTAAGAAACACCAGCGATTTCAAAGCGCATTTTTAAAACCGTATTTAGATCACTGCAGTTTTAAAGAGAAAATACTGAACAATGGTGTTGACACGAATTTGCACATGGTTTATCTTAAAGCATATTAAAAACACCACATATACACTCAAACAACATTAAAAACTTGATTTTCATCACAGGGGGACTTTAATTAAATGCTCATTTTCAATTACTTTGACTAGTTTTGGTTGAAGGAAATCAAGTTTCCACAAATAATTTAGGTTCATAACCATTTGATTAAGGAACTATCTATAAGATATAGCCTAGACTGCATAAAGGATACAACATTTTAATATTTGCCTCTCTTGTTGATAGTGTGGGTGAGAGAGGAATTAGACTGGTCTGTGGGTGTGATTTTGAAACAAGTTGTCGTCACACCACATTGTGAGTGGGTAAGTGAGTAAAATACACCTAATAAGGAAGAGCGCAAAATTGTCCAAAAGGTCAAATGAGGGAGAAATTTTAACTTTAAAAACCATTAAAGTGGTCTTGGTAAGAATTTTGTGTTACACTTTATTTTAAGGTGTCATTGTTACAGTGTAATTAAGTACTGTGTAATATTAATTAACATGTGCATGTTAACATGTACTTAATATGGGATTAGGGTAGGATTAGGATTTGGTTGAGGGTTAGTTGCATGTAATTAATTTACTGCATAATTTACTGTTATTACTATGGTAAGTACATGTACATATGTAACAAGGACACTGTAAAAAAAGTGTTACCGATTTTTTTTTTTATTCAGCAAAGATGCATTAAATTGCTCAAAAGTGACAGTAAAGACATTTATAACATTACAAAAGATTTCTATTTCAAATAAAACCTGTTTTTTCAACATTCTATTCATCAAAGCATTAAAAAAGAAAAAGAAAAAAAAAGAAACTGTTTCCACAAAAATATGAAGCAGCACAACTGTTTTCGACATTGATAATAATAAGAAATGTTTCTCAAAAGCAGCAAATCTGCATATTAGAATGATTTCTGAAGGATCACGTGGCACTGAAGACTGGAGTAACGATGCTGAAAATTCGGGAATAAATTTCATTAAATATATTAAAATCGAAAAAAAAGTTATTTTTAAACTGTAAAAAATATTTCACAATATTACTATTTTTACTGTATTTTTGATCAAATAACTGCATCCTTGGTGAGCATAAGAGACGTCTTTCAAAAACATTTTTAAAAAATCGCATCAATATAGAATAGAGGATATAGGATATAGAAAGAGACACAAAACATATCAGACACATAAACTTGCAGCATTTGTCTTAGAAACACATGTGATACACTTAAGGTGTCACACTGGGCAAAAAATAAAAATATTTAGTCACCTGTGGTGCCTTTCTTATAATGCTGATCTGATTGATTTTGCCATTATGAGCAAATACACGTATGAAGGCATAAACCGCAGCTGCGGTTGGAAGTGACAAATAAAGATCAGCAGTCCAACACCAGTTTTTCACCATACAAAAACAGCATAAGATAACCACAGAAAATATGCTAATATTGAGCTGGGGACTTTCTTCACTAAGAATAGTAAAATTGCTAATTTCCACCTACAACTAAAGTTTCATCCCCCATCAAACCTGTAACCTCTCCAACTTAACTCGACCCTATTTTCAAAAGAAGAGAGCATGTTAACGACAGCCATAAAGTGCCATTCTCTTCCTTTCACTCTCAGGGTTAGCGGCATCACGTTACACAGCACCCTCTGCACATTTGGGGGTCTATATATGAGGCTCAGAGAGGTGAGGGCAAGGGTTACGGGCTGACACCACATCTGAACAGTGAAATCCCAGCAGTTGGTCATCGGCCAGAAGAAAAAAAAAGTATTGCAGAGAAAACCGGTTCCTGTTTGAAACACTGACAGCATGCTGGTAGGTTGCAATGGCTTTCATATCACTAGTTCTGAAACCTGAGGGTAGAAATGATCTAAAGATGTTCCTGAAGAAGATGATAGGATGATTTAGAAGTAAACTGTACTGACCTCCATCTTTCTGAGATATGAGTCCTGTGATCAAGCAGTAAATGAATCCCATTCAAAAGTCCATGTAGAATTGACAGGAACAGCAAAGCTTCTCCAACAGCATCTGTGAATCTGTAAATGGAGTCTTAATCAGTCTGTATTTCAGTTTTTTTTAATGTTTGCTATTTGCTCTATTTCTATGTACTATGGTCGTCTTCTTGTTGCTCTCACACACATACACATTACCCAAATAAACCCGGAGTCCAGACACTTCACAATAAGGGGCGGGGAGTGAAGCATTCACTCATGACATGTGTCTTGCTCTCATGTACGTCAGCCAATCCGAATGCCCCTTAACAACTGCTACCGCACCTCCTCCAACTTCTATGAAATTGTGAGAGAATGTTTTTACGCCTGATTTAGGAAAGCAGCAAAGCAGAAGTTGGTCACACAAAATGTAGGTTATTTTCCAAAAGAAAGACAAAGGCTATCTGTATTACTAGTACTCTACTTCCACTATTTGTTTCATAAAATCAATTTTCACTTTCGTCTGCGGACACTTAAGCTGATTTATGGGACAGATTCTCCAGAGGACAGACTTTGTTGTCAAGACAACAGATAGACCACCCTGTATCGGCTGGGTGGGACACCAATGATATACAGCAACAGTTCTCAACTGGTGGGTCGTAACGCAGAAATGGGTGACAGGTCTGTTCTGATGGGGTTGCGGACAGCTTAAAAAGCAAACAAACAATTTTAGATGCAAATAATAAAATACAACTAATATTCTAATTGTGTAAAGTTACACTTCCTTCTTTTGATGTTGACATCAAAGCACTGGCAACAATTCAATCACACTGAGTCTACACCATTATGATTCCCTAAACTATACAATCAATTCACCAGATATTCAAAAACCATGATCAAAACAACACAAAGTAAAAGAAAATAAAGCCCAGACAATATTAAATATGGATTGACTTACTTGCAGCAGTTAATTATTGGCTGAATCATTGAGAATATACTACTGAGACATTCTAGAGGACAAAATATTTCACTTTTGAGCCTATGTCATGTACATATGCATATTGTTGGGCCTATGCAGTTCATTGTAATATTGGTAAATTTCCATGTTTAAGGAAAATTGGTATGAAAATCAATATCGGTTTACAAACAAAAATACATTTCTGACATAAAAAAAAAAAAAAAAAAAAAAAAAAAAAATCAGTGACCAATATAGCCACCCTTCTTTTCAATAACAGGTATAAGCCTTCCATTCATGGAGGAGTCTGTCAGTTTCTTGATCTGTTGATGATCAACTTGTTGTGCAGCAGCCACCACAGCCTCCCATACACTGTTCAGAGAGGTGTACTGTTTTCCTTCAACGTAAATCTCCCGTTTAAGAAGGGCCCACAAGTTCTCAATAGGGTTTAAATCAGGTGAGGAAGGGGGCCATGTCATTATTCTTTGTATGACACACATATATACACACATATATATATATACACTCACCGGCCACTTTATTAGGTACACCTGTCCAACTGCTCGTTAACACTTAATTTCTAAGCAGCCAATCACATGGCGGCAACTACGTGCATTTAGGCATGTAGACATGGTCAAGACAATCTCCTGCAGTTCAAACCGAGCATCAGTATGGGGAAGAAAGGTGATTTGAGTGACTTTGAACGTGGCATGATTGTTGGTGCCAGAAGGGCTGGTCTGAGTATTTCAGAAACTGCTAATCTACTGGGATTTTCACGCACAACCATCTCTAGGGTTTACAGAGAATGGTCCGAAAAAGAAAAAACATCCAGTGAGCGGCAGTTCTGTGGGCGGAAATGCCTTGTTGATGCCAGAGGTCAGAGGAGAATGGCCAGACTGGTTCGAGCTGATAGAAGGGCAACAGTGACTGAAATAACCACTCGTTACAACCGAGGTATGCAGCAAAGCATTTGTGAAGCCACAACACGCACAACCTTGAGGCGGATGGGCTACAACAACAGAAGACCCCACCTGGTACCACTCATCTCCACTACAAATAGGAAAAAGAGGCTACAATTTGCAAGAGCTCACCAAAATTGAACAGTTGAAGACTGGAAAAATGTTGCCTGGTCTGATGAGTCTCGATTTCTGTTGAGACATTCAGATGTTAGAGTCAGAATTTGGCGTAAACAGAATGAGAACATGGAACCATCACGCCTTGTTACCACTGTGCAGGCTGGTGGTGGTGGTGTAATGGTGTGGGGGATGTTTTCCTGGCACACTTTAGGCCCCTTAGTGCCAATTGGGCATCGTTTAAATGCCACGGCCTACCTGAGCATTGTTTCTGACCATGTCCATCCCTTTATGGCCACCATGTACCCATCCTCTGATGGCTACTTCCACCATGTCACAAAGCTCTAATCATTTCAAATTGGTTTCTTGAACATGACAATGAGTTCACTGTACTAAAATGGCCTCCACAGTCACCAGATCTCAACCCAATAGAGCATCTTTGGGATGTGGTGGAACGGGAGATTCGCATCATGGATGTGCAGCCGACAAATCTGCGGCAACTGTGTGATGCCATCATGTCAATATGGACCAAACTCCCTGAGGAATGCTTCCAGCACCTTGTTGAATCTATGCCACGAAGAATTGAGGCAGTTCTGAAGGCAAAAGGGGGTCCAACCCGTTACTAGCATGGGGTACCTAATAAAGTGGCCGGTGAGTGTATATATACACACACACACACACACACCGTCAAATCGATTAATCGTGATTAAAAAATATACAGCACACACATGCATGTATAATATACAGTATATATAAATATAATATACTGTATACACAGACACGTACATTATATAAACACAAACTTTTGTTTTAATCATTATTAATCGATTTGATAGCAGTAACATATATATAAACATCAAAATATTTTTTGGTATACAAATTTGATGTTATATGGTGTATACGATCCTATAAAATAACAACATTTGTATATTTACATGTATCCTCTAGTAAAGAAAGACTAAATGACTAAATTTATCTAAAAGACTGACAATTTTACTAATGCTACACAAGCAAAAACCTTTAGATTCTATATGTACAATAAGCTCATTTAGACTATCTTAAATGTGCTACACAAAAGTCCATCACACCAGATTTATCAAAGACAGAAGACAACAGCCTGTTTACTGATAAAACTGGCTTCTAAAGAATAAGGAAGTTATTATTTCCTTTACATTATTACACTACACATAATTTCCAGAAGTGAACAGATACTCTATATCTGTACTTGTTACACCTATTATGTGTGTAAACATTTCTTCTGCGAAGCCATTGAGCTCATTTGACAATCCCTTAAACCAAACAAACAAACAAACACGGATCTGTCACACAGTAAACCGGCTGAGTAACACTCACTGTGAATGTGGCTTTGTACTTATTAAGAGCCTGGCCAGCGCAAAACAAGGCGGATCTTGAAACTGTACGAGGAATTACCCTTCCTTGTCAAATATTTAGACATACTTGCCTCAGAGCAAAACAACTATTTTTAGATGTTACAAACTATTACTGCACCATTTGACATTACTGAAGAATTTCCAAAAATATCAGCATTTTTAAATGTCTTGAAGCCAAGTTCCACAGAGCCGCGAGTCTATGCTTATGTCGTACATGATTCATCTGATTGTGTTAGTTTATAGAGTTTTAGCAATTGCAGACCAGCTTTTACACACATATGATGTTGCTGGGTCACATGTCTGATTCTCTAGGGTTTTCTAGAGAATGGCTCTGCAAACAGTGGTTGCAGATTCTGTAAATGACTAATGTGCCATTTGGTCTCTATGTGGCGGTGGGCAATATTTCCACCTCTTTCTGTGAGCACTCTGCTTCAAACACTAGCCACAAATAAGATAAACATAGAAGACACAAAACCAAAGCAAATTTTCAAACAAACAGTTTCTGAAAACCATGCAAGCTGCAAGCCGAACTGATCAAGTCAAAGGAAGGACTGCAAATAGATGCATGACAAAGATTTGAGGAAGGAAAGGCAAATTATGCAGATTATTTTGATCCTTATCATGCCACCATGATGCTCTTTCTCAAGTCTCTATTGTTTTTCTAGGCCCTAAATATGGCTTGGATCACAAATGTTTGGGGTAAGCTTTTTTTGTCCTTTAAAGGGATAGTTCACTTTGAAATTAATTTTTGGTATGTTTTAGCTTATCTCAAGGGCATCCAAGATGTAGGTGTCTTTGTTTCCGTGGTAGTTTCAATTTTGATATTTTTAGGTCAAACCGTTCTTGTCTGTCAGTCATATAATGCAGGTCTATGGTCACCACCTCAAAGAGCACGCACAGAGAAGTCCAAATTAAACATGATTTAATGACTCGTAAATGTAAGTACACATTGATGGCCTAAGACACGAAACGAGCAGTTTGTGTGAGAAAACGAACAGTATTTATATCGTTTTTATCTCTTGGAACCACAGCCACGTCTAAGTGATCTGAGGGCGCGGGCGCTTCGATCTGCGCAAGCGCCGAAAGTGATCTCTCGCGCGTGTACATCACTCATTGTTTACACAGAGATTTCGGAAGTGTTACCTTTCACTGTGAAGATCTAAACATTTAGATATACAGCAAATCGCAATGGAAGACGATTTCGATATATCAACAGACAACGCTGAATTTTTTTCGCAACCGCGCGAGAGATCACTTCAGTATCAGTTTGTTTTCTCACACAAACTGCTCGTTTCGTGTCTTAGGCCATCAATGTGTACTTACATTTACGAGTCATTAAATCATGTTTAATTTGGACTTCTCTGTGCATGCTCTTTGAGGTGGTGACCATAGACCTGCATTATATGACTGACAGACAAGAACGGTTTGACCTAAAAATATCAAAATTGAAACTACTGCGGAAACAAAGACACCTACATCTTGGATGCCCTTGAGGTAAGCTAAAACATACCAAAAATTAATTTCAAAGTGAACTATCCCTTTAAGAAATGAATACTTTAATTCAGCAAGGATGCATTAAATTTAACAAAAGTGACTGACGATATTTATAATGTCCTGAAAAAAAAAACTTAGTTGAAAGCATTTTTGCTGCTTAAAATTTTGTGAAAGCTGGGCTAAGAAATGTTTCATCAGAATATTAGAATGATTGAAGGATCATGACACAGAATACTAGAGTAATGATGCTGAAAATTCAGCTTTGCATCACAAGGATAAATTACATTTTAAAATACACAGATCAGCCAAAACATTATGACACCTGGCTAATATGCTGTTGGTCCTTCCCAATCTGATTCACAGTCCTTCAAACAGCGCCGACCCGCCGAGGCATGAACTCTAGAAGACCTGTGTCCTGTGGTATCTGGCATTAAGACGTTAGCAGCAGATCCTTCAAGTCCTGTAGATTGCGAAGTGGAGCCACAGTCGATCGAACTTGTTGGTCCAGCACATCCCACAGATGCTCCATTGGATTGAGATCTTGGGAATTTAGAGGCTAGGGCAACACCACAATGTGTGCAGTGCAGCAGGGTACATTACCCTGCTGAAATAGGACACTTCCACCAGGGAACACCATTGTCATGAAGGGATGTAGCTGGTCTGCAACAATGTTTCGGTAGGTTGCGTGTTTACATACACATGAAATGCTGGACCCAGTGTTCCCAGCAGAGCATTGCCCAGACTGAGCATCAAATTCTCTCCACCAGCTTGTCGTCGTCCAATGGTGATTCCCGGTGACATCACTTCCAAGTAAATGGCACAGTTGTACACAGTTGTCCACGGTGTGATGTCAAAGAAATCGGAACTCATCGGACCAAGTAACCTCCTTCCAACTGCTCCAAGGTCCAGTTTCAACGCTCAGGTGCCCATCGTAGATACTTTCGGTGGTGAACGGGTCATCATGGGCACTACGAGTGCGATGCCCTGTGTTGTGACACATTCCTCCCATAACCATCATTAAAATCTTGTATGACTTGTGCAACAGTAGACCTTCTGTTGGCTCAGACCAGACGGGATAGCCAACACCCTGTCGCCGGTTTGTGGTTTGTCCCTCCTTGGACCACTGCTGGTAAATTCTCACCACTGCTGACCGGGAGCAACACACAGCTTGCAGATTCAGATACTCTGACCCAATCGTCTTGTCATAATTCGGCTCGTGTCACAGTTGCTCTGATCTTTATCCCTGCCCATTTCTCCATCCAACACATTGATTACGAGAACTGATTGTTTGCTTACATCTAATCTACCCAGACCTTAATATGTGCCCTTGTTGGGAGATGATCAACGATAGTCGCTTCACCTGTGACTGGTCATAATGTTTTGGCTCATCAGTGTATATTAAAATAGAATACAATTAATTGTAATAATATGTCACCATATTAGTGTTTTTACTGTATTTTCGATCAAATAAATGCAGCCTTGGTAGCATAAGTGACTTCTTTTAAAAACATTTTTACTAAATTCTTACCGTCCCCAAACTTTTGAATGGTAGTGTTAAGTCTACAGGATTTTTACACTCTGAATTTTTTCATAGTTGAGATGGTTTAGAAACGAGTTGAACAACAAAGTCGAATGCTAACGGTTAGGAGTTTGTTCAAATCCTAAGCCCAAAGTTTGAGCAATAGCAAACTCCGCTAACAACTATGATTTAATGATTCAAAAGCATTCACAAACGCTTCAGACGTGTGCCTATTAAAAATCGGTACAAGAAACACTTCTCTCAGAGACTTTTAATATAAAACAAAGAGAACAGTACACAAATCAAAACTGAAAAGACGTCATCCTAGGCACTTTCCATTAGACTAATACTCATCTACTTGTTGTCAGATACACAAAGTTTTTTTCACAGTTCAGTTTACAGCTGAATGTTCTGATGTTACTAAATGGCCTTGAATCCAAAAAGTAAAGTTGTAAAAACAATGCATCTCAGATGATGATTTGTAAAACAGCGCCACCTGACAGTAATACAAAGGTACCACAGTCATAAGAGGCAACCATGTCTCTGATGCTTTAAAAAAAAAAAACGTTTTTGTGTGTTCAATGATACGCAGCCTTGGCAAAGGAGCCTGTGAAGTCATACACAATGTGGACATTTCTGTGTTTGGGACCTGCTGATAAAAGAAACTCAGACCGTTTTGGTCTCAAAGCACACAAATGTCTCTTAGTCAGTGGTGGTGCGGCGATACCAGAATCGGGCTCTGAAGTCGTCGCTGCAGGTCATGAAGCCGGGGTTGGTGGGTGAGTGGACGATACAGCGCACGATGTTATTGTGGCCCAAGGAGAGCAGGTTCTTCCTCTCGGCTGTGCGTGAATCCCAGCAGCACAAGCTGATGGTTCTCTCGTCCGGCAGCAGCACATAGTCCTCTGTGTGGTTGAAAACACCCTGAGTGCGGTGCGTTTGTCGCCCACTGAGACCCGCACCTGCATGACAGGAAACACAATGAGGGTGAGATGGCAGCAGAGTGTGCGAGTCACAATGATGAAAAACACTGGACAGGTGGCGTGATGACAGCCAGCGTATTTCCAACATATGTCACGGTTTATTCGCCCCAAATTGGCCAATGAAAGTTCCAAGAAAACTACATGAAGAGAAATATCAAATAGCGCTTTTTACTGATCCAAAAAGACCATCTTAATATGTATTATAAAATAAACAGTTTTATTCCTGGATGCTCATTGGTCAATACAGTGTTCTAGCCTTGTTAAAATGCACAGATTTCCTGATTCAATTTGATTCAGATTCTCAAGCTCAAGATTTGGTTCAATTCTGATTCATATTAGTATATTTCAGTAATAAAGTCTTTTCTGCTTACAAACAAAATAAATTCTCTCTCAGTTAATGCTGTAAATTATACAGAGTAATGTTTTATAATGATTCAAACCGGTAAATGGTCTTTACAAACCAGTTATTAAAAGAAAGACTCATACGAGTAATGTGTTTTATGGAATCTGGCTACACTGTTTGTACTACATGTTTTTGATTCACAAAAAAGAAAAAAAAATGGTTTCATGAGAGATATTTGTCTGGGAATCAGACTACACTGGTCCTGCTTTATGTTTTTGATTTAATATAAAGAACTGACTCAATGTTTTTTGCTATTATGTTGCAGCAGTACTGTCTTTCATTGAATTGAATTACATTAAAATTCACATTTGAGGTAAAATAGGTTTCACCAAAAATTGTTTTGGATCCATTGCTGCTTAATTTGAGATCGGGATTGCTCAAAACTGACGCCCTATTTCCTTGGGTAGAATTATTATTCTCCATCAAGCCCTTACCTTATCCATAATCTAACACAACGCATAATTCGCCATCTCACCTGTGTACTTGACCAAAGTCCGGCTTGTGGAAATTTCCCAGAGTTTGGCAACAGAATCCTTTCCAGTTGATAGAATATACTTGGAGTTTTTGGAGAAGACGGCTGAGCAGACCTCAGCCCCGTCGTGGGCTTTCTCAAAGGTAGTCACACACCGGTTAGACACTCCATCCCACAGTTTGATGCTGCCGTCTTTGCTACAGGTGACGTAGCTGTTGGCACTGGGATTGTAACAGACTCCGCTGATGGTGTCTGTGTGCTGATCTAGAGGGTTGCAGGACACAAAACACTGGAAAGTGTTGACGTCATAAAGGCGCAGAGTTGGGTGCTGCGTGCCCACCAGCAAGAAATCCCCAGATGGGTGGAAAGAGATGGAGCGCAACATTTCAGCTTCCTGTAGAAAATGAAAAGAAGAAGCATTCCAAAAAAATCCATGCCAAAAGCTTAAATAAATGAAGGGCCACAAGAAAACCCTTTTTAAAGTCATATTACCAGTGTTGGGGTTACTTTAAAAAGGAACACACTACAATATTGCCTTACTCCCTAAAAGAGTAACTAATTGCATACATTTTTATGGAAAGTAAGTTGTTACTTTTGCATGACTTTTTCTCACTTGGCTGAGGCTTGCTCTCTTCTAGGCCTGACAGGTTTTATTTTTTACTGCCGATTTTTTTTTTTTTTTTTTTTTGCAAGTGTTTAATGCAATAATGCATTCAACCAATGTACAGCTTATATAACATACACCTTCATTTTCTTTTAAAAACACACTCAGAATAGTATTGAGCTGTAGCTGCTTCATGTGTGTTTGATTAGGGATGGAGCTGAACACTGCAGGACAGTGAGTCTCCAGGAGCAGGGGTGAAGACCTCTGATTTAGAGGCTTGATTTAGTTTGTCTGTATACCTGTACATGCTTGAAGGCTCTTTTTGCAGATGGCTTTGAATAATCGAAGAGTTTGAGGGTGTAATCCCGAGAGCCGGAGGCCAGGATCTGTTCGGTCGGGTGAAAAGCCAGGCATGTGACCTCATCCACATGATCGTACAATGTTCTGATCACAGGGTGGTTCTCCATGTTCTGCTGAGCCGTTTCGTTCATCATCACCTGTAACAAACAGAATCACACGTTCAGATTGTCCAACTGAAATAAACGACATATTATTAGTCACGATGAAATGAAAGTAGAGGCAGATCTATACTTCTGAATTGTGACGTACATCCCGAGCATAAAAAATAAGGCTGTTGATTGGATTTTGAAATGTGGGCATTGAATTAAAAAATGGAGGCAGATGAACATGGGCTTGCAGGGGTGAGTTTAAGCGGACTAAATGATTGGAGAAATCGTCACCAGGCAGAAGTCTGCTTTCACTGGAAGCAAAACATTACACAATAAAAATAAAAAAAGAAACATTCACAGATGAATTGTTCACAATAAGATCTATAATATGCATTTAGAAAATAGATGTATGAATTTTGAATGAATGATGAATTTTCATTTCATGCGGACTTCATGAAACAACCGTAAACCACTGACTTTAGGCAAAGGTGGCACTCACCTCTAGAGGCATGGCACTTTTGGCCAGCATGCGCTCAGTATCCAGGATCTTAATGGAAGCGTCGGCGGAACCCGTCGCAATGAGCTGGCCATCACGGCTGTAGGTGGCCACACGGCACGGACCCTTATGGGACGTCACATAGCAGGTCTCGTACTCCGATGCTTCTGGGGACATGGTCTGCACGTCTGCATCAAACTCCAGGTCAATGCCCACACCGGGCGCCACGTTGTCTGAGCGGCCAATGGCATACTGCACCGCACTGTCATCGTTCTCCATTCCTAGAAAATCAGATAAAAGTACTTTAACAAGAATTACTTTTAATATGATTTATAATCATTACCCCCCAAAACTATATTTTTATATAAAGTTTAATAACAGTATTTCACCCGATGCTACTTGTGTCAGCACTTTGAGTTAACAATTACTCATTTTGGAATTATGTTTAAAGCCAACTGCGTTGGATTGCCGTTTCTAATTTTGTTAAAAGGAATATATCCCTAAACTTCTGTACGAGGCAGAAATTTGTGATTTTAACCTTTTCAGATTACCCTTATTATTTGATCACTTTCCTTGCAACATTTTACATTCATAAATGTAAATAAAAAAAGGAATTTTCAAGAAAAATTCAAGAACTCTTAATTCTATTGCTTGTTAAACACTTCTATGGGTGTAATATAATATAGATAATAGAATACATTTCAGAATTTCATGTATTGCAACCCTCTTAGAATATTTTGTTTATTCTTTGATGCAAAAAAAAATATGAAAGTACTTATTCAGTACAGGTTCAGTTTAGTCATTTAGCAATTATACAGGAGAGGTAAAATTACACTAAAAAGTGTGAGAAACTGACAGATTATTGGAGCCATACCCGTCTTGGCCAGCTGCATGAGCTGCTCTGATGGAGACACCACATTCTGGGGCTTCACCTCACTGATCAGGCTGTTAGCGATGCTGGTGTAGCCGTCATACAGCAGCTGGCTGATGATCAGCCTGTACAGGTGATGTCTGTCCTTCAACGTGGGCTTTGGTCGGAACATCTTTGCTGCTTCCTGCCTGCAAGTGAATGAAGTAAGATAGAAACGCTCAGAATGCACGTAGTTTTGTGTTTCTAAACCCAATGAGCCAGCGTTACATACTACTTAAACAATATGCTTAGGCGCGTTCTATGATACTCAAAATGTTGTCTACGTCTAGGCAACTCGCTTGGATTCAAAACACAATCATTGTTGTTTATACTAGTGGATTGTTGTCGCAAATCTTTACGTGGTATAGGCAGCAGCGTATTATTTTAAAGGTGGGTTGAGTCTGTTTCTGAAATAAGGCTTGAAGTAAGCAAATGTTACAATATAAGCGGAGTTTCATTCAATTGAAGTTGCATAAAATACGACTTACCAATTTACGACTTCAGGAGGTACGCACACGCTCTGTACGTCTGACGTCACGACGTACGCATATACAGTGGAACTGTGGGAAAAAACTCAATAAATTAAAAGTCTCTGTCTGATTTAAAGTAAAAGTCCCCGACTTATTGTTTTCGTTGAAATTTCAATTCAGATTATTTTTTATGATATTAGAAAAAAAAAATCACTAACAAATATTGGTCACACTATATAACTAATCAAATTAAAAATGTTTTTATATAAACATCCTTATATGTAATGCTTAAAAGTCAATAAGGAAATTAAAATAAAATATAATGCAAATAAAATATCCAAAAACTTCAGTTAATATATATAATTTTTAAATATCTCTGAAAGCCGATTAATTGTTCTGTTAATTGATGACTTATTAAACTTATTATACTTTGTATTCAAGGACACACAGAATTAGAAATAGCATTTAGAATTAAATAATGGCAGAGAGACAGAGAGAGGGGAAATAAATACATATACAATAAATACATGCAATTTACATGCTGTTCTGTAGCCTTAAACAATCCAATCACTAAAAAAAATGAAGAAACTCATGTGAAAATCAACTTACTGTAACAAGTACATATCATATTAATTAATTACACATGTATTATAGACATTTATTAAATGTTTGCCCAAATATTATTTGGAAATATTTGTTATTAATAATTGGAAAAAAAAAAACATGCAAAAGGGGCATGTTTTTCTAAATTAATCTGGTCTTTACTCAATTATTTTACACAATTTGGTGTCCTTAAACACAAAGGTAAAACCAGCAAATCATCAGTTCAAGATGGACCACATGTCAGAATGCAGAGATTAGTAAATATGCCTCCAAAAATAAACAGCACACCATCATGGTCATTTTTAAATCTCATTTTTTTCTCTTTAATGTATTTACAAGCTTTACATTTCCGCTGTAGTTCTTCATTACAAGAACACCGAGCAATCCTGGCTTGCATTAGTGTTTGCGCTTCACCTTCAATGCATACAGGTATTTGATGTCGATGTCTAAATTATTTTCATTCTGTTCAGGATGCATATTTCTTTTTATTGTGTTTGTCATGTGATTTGCAAAGTTCGCAAAAGCCGAAGCAGAAGAACCAGAGGTGGAGTTTTTCCAAACATCCTGAAACATCAGCACCATCAGCCGATCCCAGACCTCGAGCCAAAAAAACCTATGCGTTTAATTCTTTCGCTGGAAATATTTACCCTGTTTTAAGGTGAATCACATGAATCCAGGGAGGCTGCTGAAACATTTAAACAAAATTAATATTATAGTTATGATACATGTTTATTCTGTTATTTCTATCAATGTTCTTTTTGCCTGCAAATGTTAAATAAAACTTCATATTTGCAGTCTCTTAAAAAAATAATAAATTAAAGAGTTCAGAACCTATTTTAAGTCTCTTCTTTTAAAAGTAACAAAAAAAAAAAGTCAAACTTTAAAACAAAAATATTTTCTATATATATGATACAAGTATTTAGTGTTCCCTCCGAGTCGTAGAGAGTTCCAGCTCAAGTTGGCCAGCGTTTCAAAGTCAAAGTTCCTGTGTTGGCAGGAGTAGGTGTGTCTATGGCTAGACTTGTATAGTCTGTATGCATTTTATAGTTTGCGTCAGTAGGGGGCCTCTGGGCGTCGGCCACACGCTTATGTCAATTATCCTCAGACTCCTCCTCCGCCTCGCGTAACCAGGTGAAGAAAGCAGTGACCGACTTCAACGCTACGCCTTTTCCCTGCTGCTCCGCTGGGTCTTTACTCGTTTCCCATTGATAAAAAGCGTCCTCCGAAATAACGTCCTCGTCGTAAAGACAATCGAAAAACATTCGGAGTAGATCTGTGAATAGAAATAGATCAAAATTACGATCCTAGAAATCTTTCGTTCAGCTTTGGCATCTTTACTTTCACCTGCTACATACTGGGTGGTTGATCCAGGGTGACGATCAAAGACTGGAGAGCATAAAGTGCTTGCAGCTGCCGCTCTGTGTCTGAGTTAAGGTACTTGTGTAATATAGGCAGGCGTCTCTGGATGATAGCGGTGTCCACTCTAAAGGACGTGCTTTCATCTGGAGAAGAAAGAGATAAAAGCAATTGGCAAAAGGATCATAGAGATGAAGCTGTTTAATAGAAGGCACATGAATTAGTAGTTTGCTCACCTTTAACTGCTGCTTTACATACAGCTGTCATTAAAGCTCTCAAAAATGGAGAGGAACTCATCTGAGATTCGTCTAAATTAGCCTGAAAAGAAAAGTCAAAATTTCTTGAAAATGTGTCATATAATCAGGGCTTGAGTATATTAACACCTGCCAAAAGCTGGTGGATTTTAGCAGTGGCCTCCACACAAATACGACTCCCCTCATTCGCTTGTCTCATTTGTTCCGGATGAATATTGTTGGTGTTACAGGGCTTGAATTTCGGCATGGGATTGCAGATATTGCGTATAATTTGACTCATTCCCACAGATTTTGTGCTCACAGACACCCAAAGTGCGCACACATAAAGCACCCTCTCAGTGCTAAATTGAGTACTTTTTCACTGCTAATTGCGCTTAAACAGTCAAATACACATAAAAGAATGTAAAAATGCTGGACTTGGCGAGTATTCACCTAAACACAGTCGATTGTTTTAAGTGAACAAACATTTGGGAAAGAAAATGCATGTGTAACAGTATAATGGGTCCGTGAGTCAGGTCTTAAAGTGACAGCAGCCTAATATACCTGCTGCAAAATTAGAAGATAATATTAAAAATATCTATATGGCAGTTTTTCCCCATGGTATCGATGTCAAAATTGTGGCCAGTGAGCAAAAAAGTTAATGTCAAGCCCTGCATATACTGTACTTGAAATGTTTTTTTTTGCATATGAGAGGTCTGTGAGTGTGGGATCAGTCTCACCTCGATCCAGTCGAAGATCTGTTCGTCACTGGCCATGTCTTCTAACAGTAGCTGCTCCAGTTGTTTAAACAGCTCCTCAGGACTGAGGCTGGGTTTAGCTGTGTCCGGAGAGACAGGGGAGACGTCTGACACGGTGAACTCTAACTTCTGGAAAAAGAGGAAAAAGAACACGACTGGTTCTAGCATCAAGCTACTCATAATTTGCAATGCTTACAATACAAGCTGCTAATAAAAAGTAGTGAACTACATTAAAGCTATTTAGCTTTTAGTATTTATAAATATATCTTTAATTGCAATACATACACTACCATTCAAAAGGTTGGGGTCGGTAATATTGTTTTAAAATGTTTTTGAAGAAGTCTCCAACTCTGTTTTCTATGTTAACATTTTAAAATGTAATTTATTCTTGTGATGGAAAAGCTGAATTTTCAGCATTCGTTTTTTTCAGGATTATTTGATGAATACTGAATAGAAAGTTCAAAAGAACAGCATTTATTTAAAATATAAATCTTTTGCAGTATTATAAATACTGTCACTTGATCAATTTAATGTGCCCCTGCTGTATAAAAGTATTAATTTATCTCTTTTTTGAATATTAATATGAAATGTTTATATTCTAAATCAGAACAGTATTTGTCTAGCACAAAACAATGAGGATATCGCCACAATTTATATAACTCAGTCGGAAACTAATGATGACTTATTATTTTGTTTAATCATTGTAATTATAATAATATGTTGTATATTGCTACAAAATGAATCTAAAATGCAGCACAGGGCTCAAATGAATTGGTAAATTGAATGAATGAATGAATCGGACTTCCTAATAAAGAAAAAGAGCTAACATTTTTTAGGTGTGGTACCTCAAGTTTGTGGTAACAATTAAGCAACACCACTACTTGTTAAAAAAAAAAAAGTTTGTTACTGGACAAGCTACACTATTTTGAAAACAACAGAACTACTTTCACGAAAAATGTAGTTCGTTTATTTATGAGTATTTGAATTTGTGAAGGTGTTCAGGCTGTATTTGCACCTGTTGTGAGATGAAGGCAGGAAGAAGTTCTCCCTCGGGCAGGAAGTCGGCCCAGTTCAGCCCAGACTCTCTCCACAAGTCTCCAACTTTCCTATGGCTCTTTAGCACAAGTAGATGCATGTAAATACACAAACTCACAGGAGCCAAAACAATACACAAAGTTACTTTACTGCAAATTGTTACTGTCACAGAGGTGTTTGTGTATGAAAGATGATCATTTTTGGCAGCATCATGCAGGAGCCTCTAAACCACAGATGGATCAACTAGATAAAGATGAACTCAATGCTCTAAAACACCATGTCAACAAAAGTTGAGCTTACCATTTGTTTGCATAGTAGGTGCAGTATTTCAGAAAATAAGATGGCAGCTCTTCCCACAGGGAGTAGCGGTTTACTTAACTCACTGTAGAAACAAAACAAATCTCCATTAGACGCTAAACTGAATCCTGACAGCTGTAGCCTGTGTGGAGCTGGAATGACTGCAACTACTGTGCACTGCCAAACTGTTAAAGCCCCAGAAGTCAGAAAACCCAATACAATGAGGCATTTAGGATGTTTTTATTTATTTATATTTAGTATTGAATTCTGTGTTTCAACTTATTGGAAATACCAGTCTCAAATCACAATCCAAATAATAAAAAAGGCCATGCTGACTGTAAGAATGCAAACATTTCTGACTGTGCAAAATGCTTTGGATACAGTCCATCCTTCACTAATATATTCTTGTCTACAAAAGTTGTGGATTGTTTTAAACCAAACTTTTACATAAATTATTCAAAAATATGGTGAAATATGTTCTTGTAGTGTAATAGTGTGACAAGGTAACTGGTATGGATGGATGCTGTATTTTTATTTTATTAAATGGTTAAATAAATATTATTTTAACGAAACACACATAATCATCTGCATTTACCCCCAGGTAAATTATCCTATTCTCACTTATTGTTAATTAATTTATTATTGATTGTAATAAATATTCCAAATCTCTCTTCTTCTGTCTATTTAGTTGACTCTTAAAAGCATTTTACCACAATTTTGAAGCTCAATTTCAAGTTTTAGATGTATAATATAATATAATGTAATATAATATAATGCCAGAAGACATGCTGGGATAGGCTCCAACAT